TGCAATCTGAGCTAAATTCATTCTCAGAAATGCTTTTTGAGAATTAGTTCCTCGATTTTAAGATTATAAGTTAATTAAAACTAAATGAATCTTTAGAAATTAGTTAGATGGCATACAATATATATTGTTATAAGTAAGGTTAAATTAGTTGCATAAAGATGTTCATATGTAAAATAGAGCTAGTCTATGTAAAATTCTATTTGCTTTTAGTAAGACTTGAGGGCATTAGGTTACTCCGCATGTACATAGTAAGTACTTTTTTTCAATATTTTTTTTATGTACATCATTAGTACTTAAAACTTTTTCAAATGGATGTTAAAAGTGTATTTCTGAATGATTTTATTGACTAGGATGCCTTTGTAGAATAACTATTGGCATTTGAAAATTTTGAATTTTCAGATCATGTACACTAATTGAAGAGAGATTTATATGAATTAAAATAAGTGATAGGAAGCACTTGTAGATCTCAAGTATTTCCTATCAATTTTCGGAAAACAATGAGAAACTCCTCCAAACTCTAATAAAAATCAGGAAAACAGTAAATTTTATTACAAGAAATCAACTAACGGAAAAAAACAACAATATACAAGTGATACTCTATTCGAGAGGACGATCGATCTCTCCCAATCTCTAGATGAATCTAGAGCCCAAAACCTAAACCTAAGAGATCCAAAAATCAGCCAAATTCAAGATGCCCTAACCCTAGGAAAACCACCTATTTAAAGAAAACAATAAACACTAATACCCAAACATCCATCCCCCAATTCCCTCCTATTTCCTTAATTATTTCCCTCCCAAATCAAGTCTCAAATTAGCCCCTAAATCTGTCATCTTCAATTCAGAAACATTTCTTAATTAATTCTCTTCAAATCAGCCCCAAATCTGCCCTATTTAATTATGAAATATTTCCTAATTAATCCCTTCCAAATCAACCCCCAAATCTTCAATTAGGAAACATCTCATAATTAATTCTCTTTGATTAAGAACCTTCCTAAACATCTCCCTCTTGATTAGAAAATTTCTTAATTCCCTCACAATCAAATAAGCTGGTCCATCAATACTCCCCTCCCAAAGATCCACCTTGTCCTCAAGGTGGAAGGATGGGATGATGTTGATAGCTTTCTTCAGCTGCTCTGTTAGTGGCCATGTTATCGTCCACTAGAACCAAGCTAAATCTTTCCTTTCCAAACATAGGTCCGATGCCGTCATTCTCTCCTCTTCCGTCACCTCATTCACCATGAGATACATCTTCACCCGTTACAGCCACCCATAAGCATCCTACCTTTTAAATCCTGGCATCCCCAAATTCTCACCTTAGGATCACTATGACCCCAATAGCTTCTTCCTCCTCTAGTGTAGCGGTTGTCGTGATCCCTCCATATTTCCCACATGTATCGTGGGTGGGAATCCCACCTTCCTTCCCTTCGCTTTACATGACCCGATCCCCATGGTTCAGCACATCCCCCTCCTTCGGTCGTCCACTTCCCTTGCCCAAAAGACCTCCCACACCCAAATGCCCTTCCTGCTGTACCCCCACCCGATAACCCTATTATGCCCCTTATTGGAGCTGGCTCCCCTTGCCCAAAATGCCTCTCATAGTGGTCAGCCTCCCTACTGCCTCCATCAAAAGATTTCATCTTTGTTATCCTCTCATCTAGAAACCTTGATCCACCCCTTATCGGAGCCACAGGAGGTGGATCTTTATGAAAGAAACTCCCCTCGTCAAACTCCTCTTGTTTGATCTCCTTTCCTTTCGATTCAGCCAAGTGATCCCAGTCAAATCTTGGTTAGGGTTAGCCATCGGAACCACTCTTGAAATTTTTGTTTGCATCTCCAAGAGCCTTCTTAACATCACCTCCATGATCTCCAAATCATTTTCCCTCCCAAAAAATTCAGAATTTGTTGCTCTTTCCCCCGGCCCCTTTGTCTTGGATGCCGCCATTTGAATTTGATTTTCCAAGAGCTTCTTCATCATTGCATGAAGATCGGAAACCTTGTCTTCCACGGATGAAATTCGGTCCTTCACCGTTGCTTTTATTTGACTCATCTATCCATGTCTCTCTTCCAGCGCATCACTTTCTTGGCTGTCATCAATCCCCGGATTTTTGTAGATACAAAAATTTGAATTTCGACTTCAAAAAACAGCAATTTCCCCTTTCACTGGCCCAAAATAGCCGCTGAAATTCACAAAAAATAGCCCACCAATGATCCCAAGATTTGCTCTGATACCAATTTGATAGGAAGCACTTGTAGATCTCAAGTATTTCCTATCAATCTTCGGAAAACAACGAGAAACTCTTCCAAACTCCAATAAAAATCAGGAAAAATAGTAGATTTTATTACAAGAAATCAACTAACGGAAGAAAACAACAAGATACAAGTGATCCTCTATTCGAGAGGAGGATCGATCTCTCCCAATCTCTAGACGAATCTAGAGCCCAAAACCTAAACCTAAGAGATTCCAAAATCAGCCAAATTCAAAATGCCCTAACCCTAGGAAAACCACATATTTAAAGCAAACAATAAACATTAAATACCCAAACAGCCCTCCCCCAATTCCCTCCTATTTCCTTGATTATTTCTCTCCCAAATCAGCCCCTAAATCTATCATCTTCAATTAGGAAACATTTCTTAATTAATTCCCTTCAAATCAGCCCCCAAATCTGCCCTATTCAATTATGAAATGTTTCCTAATTAATCCTCTCCAAATCAGCCCCCAAATCTTCAATCAAGAAACATCTCATAATTAATTCTCTTTGATTAAGAACCTTCCTAAACATCTTCCTCTTGATTAGAAAATTTCTTAATTCCCTCACAATCAAATCAGCTGGTCCATCAATAAGCTCTTATACTATGGTATTATAGATGGAGTACTTTCTTGATTCTTAATAAGATTTATAAGGATATTGTTGATATCACCCTCTTTTATCAATAAATCAAGAGAATATAATAATTGTTCAGATTTATACCAATGGTATTGTTTGTTAAATACTGACGAGTCTTTGCGTTGTGAGTTTTCTTATATGAATAAAGAATTTGAGATTGTATAATTTGAGAACCCAATCTCGAATTTTTTTTTTGGTAACATTAGGTGAAGCAAGAAGAAAATGATACTTGCATCGGTCAAACAAATTACATCAACGAATTAATTGGAAGATTTAACATGAAGAAATTCAAATCTAATAAGACCCCATGAACCAAACAAGTAAATTGGATTTAGATGAATCAAGTAACTTAAAAATAATAAGTTTTATAAGAATATGATATGTTGACTTCTAAATCTTACTACAAGCATGCTTGATATTATGTTTTTTATCTGTGTGTTCATTTCCTAAATAATCTCATTTCATTGCAATAAAACATAAGTTTCTTTATTTAATTGAAACTTAATATTAGACTTGTGACATTAAAAAAAATATTTCATGAGATCTAGTTATTTTTTCTGATGCAGATTATACTGAATGCAAGGTTAATCAGAAGTGTATATCTAATATATTAGTTTATAGGATCATTACATGTGTCTCGGTTTAGCAGGAAACAAAATTCTATGGTTTTTTTCATTGCAAATGTTGGGCATGCTATTTTTGGCAGCTGTGTTGCTCAAAGTGCTTTGATTAAAATAATATTTAGAGTATTATTGAATTAATATAGATACTATTTTATTATGGATTATATTTCTAAAAATAATATTGATATTGAATTTATTAGTACCTATTTTCAGATTGTAGATATCTTTACTAGACCATTATCCGAAGGGAAAATATTGTGAATTAAGAAGAAAACTATACATGCTAGATCCTCATATTTAATTTGCTATATAGTTTATCTTTATTTTGACATTTATTGATTTTTAAATTTAAATTTATGCATACATTCAGGGGGAGATAATTCATGAGGAGTATGTTGTTAATCCTTTCTTAAACTTATCATTAGTGATGTTACCACATAACTTTAAAATTCATATTGTACACTTATGACTGCTAATGCTGGTATCTTCTCACAAGCATCTTACAAGTTACGTTCAAGCCATGGGAAAGGATAATTCTCTCCTTTTTCTGGACAGTCCGTTTGAAGGACTTGCTCAGGAGCTAAAAATGAGCTTATCACTGGAGCACGACAAACTATCTTCGGCCACATCGTCCAAGCAGCTGTCCCCCTTTCCGGCGGGGGATGACCACATAAGTTCCTCTCTCAGTTAGACAAGTCTTTATTCATCTTTTTGTCAAAGTCAAGTCTTCTATAAAAATCAAGCTAAAGACACATGCCTCGTCCATGAGATGCCCTCCATAATAGGATCGTCATCAAGCTTGGAGATCTATATCAAGCCCTTATTGGCGCGCCCCCCCCCCCCCCCCCAAAAAGCAACCCCCCCCCTCCAAAGAGGCAATGTTAGATCGACTTCCTACCCAACGCTGACCCGATCTCCGGATTCTCATGGGTTCACCTTGCCCGTGTCCTCTCTCTCACACAAGATTGCCACGCCACTCGACACATCCAATTGAGTCATATCAAGAACTGACAGTACAACTCCTGTACTCCATGCATGTTCTACTGTAACTCTCCAAGGCCTATAAATAGGGGGATGGGGAATACAAGAGGGACACGAAGACATATCAAAACAGACCGAAAGCTTATCGAGAGAACAAAATTGAGAGATACATGAATAAATGTTGTTTTTCCCTAGTTTAGCTTAAGTTCTACCTGATAGAGCTCTCACTCATCTCATTATTGTATTTCTGATTGGAATAATAAAGATTTTGTCCAAATACATTCTCTCTCTCTCTTAGATTCATAAAGTATATCCAGACATCATCCACCGAACAAATTTTAATTCAACACACAACCTGAGCTGCCTAACTGTAATTTCATTGAACTTTTTTTTCTGTCTCCATAATACTCTTTTATCACATAATACTTTTCAAATGTTTATACATTTAAACAACATAATTGCCTTAATCAGTAATTTTTCAGACCGCTGATTTTCTCTTGCTTGCATGCAGGTAGAAACACCCAGACCTTGCTTTTAGGTCCCCAATCTTCGCATGGGAGTGTTCAGAAGATCGATTTCAATACAAAGTCACATCGTTCATGCACTTAATGCAATGCAAGCTGGCTCTTCGATTAATTGAATATAAAGGAAAATATTGGAACGAGCTTTAATGAGATAAGTACCTCCATTTTTTAAACCGTTGGATTTTTCTGAACCAACAGAGTTGCCCATCAATTCTCCATTGTTTCTCCTCTGTTGAACAAGAGAAAGATTACACCATTTTTTGTTTCCTAGTTGTGTTTATTATATATATATCTATTTAAAATTTGATTTATTGTTAACTGCTTTTGACTAGTTGAATTTGTCAGTAGAAGGAATGGTGCTCTTCAGTTATTTTATCTTATCTCGGATTCAATTGCTGTGGAAATATTGAAATGCTTGTCTCACATTGTTCTTGTTCAACATTGAGGAATGGAGTAGTTATTAACACCTTAGAAATTGATGGCTTTGTATTCCCAAGAGATTTAGGTGCACTGCTGGGAAGTTTCCCACTCCAATGCTAGGCAAGGGAAAATTAGTTGTGGAGGCCATAAATAACATATAGCATATTCAAATTTCATTTCCCTTATCATTTCAGAAGATTTTTTTCTTTTTTTTTTTACTTAGGTTTTGTTGAGACAATTTTTTTGTTGTTTTTATAAGTAGCTTTTTAGTACAAAAAAGAGAAATTTTTGTACTAAAAAGTTGCTTTGAGAAGTAATAAGAAAGCTGTTCCAAACGAAGCCCGAGTTGGAATGACAAAGTTCTCAATGAATGATAAGATATGATAGGATGAGAGATAAAAGTGATGGAAAAAAAAATAAGGGATTGTTTGGTTTTTAAGTATTATGAGTGTGAGATAAAAAGGAATGTGTAAGTTTTGAATTTTCTTCGTGATTTGAAGTGAATCAAATATAAATTATTTGTGTTGATAATTTGTTATGATTAGGTGAATTTTAAATGCAAGAAAATTTTATAGCATGCAACTTCACCTTCCTGACTCCCGACGCTTTTGATGAAGAATTTTCCGCCAAAAATCTGTCAGTAATACATGACTTTTCTATAGTGACAGTCGCCCGCCACCTTGACCATCCACACTACGCTGCCATCCGTCACCATCACCTATTGCTCATCATTATTGTCAAAGATAATTATTGCTATCGCCCTCATTCCCCATTGTTGTTGTTGCCTGTCATCAACTTCAACTGCAACTATTGTCGACGCCATTTCCACTCCTTTCTCTCGTCACCATCACCTGCTACCTTCACCTATTCCCCCCCCTCCCACAACTATCACTTCCATTGTTCGTTACCATAATCATCAATGTCGCCACTATTGCCACCGTCGTTCTTATTACTTGTTTCTGCTTTATATATATGAAATTTGTATTATGGCAATTAAAATTTTAATTTTTTAAAGTAGCTATAAATTTGAATTTCAAAATGCACACAATATTGATTTTTAATTTAATTTTATGATTATATTTTTTTTTTTGGGACATTTAGGCCATTTAAGGCAAACTCACACACACGACGCATACACAGACTCGAACCTTAGACCTCTTAGATTGAAGCCTTAGCTCTCAACCAATAGGCCAAGGAGAGTTGTGTTTATGATTATATATAGATATATAGAACTCCATGTGCAGAATATTTGTCAGATTTGCTTGCCAATGAAGTTGAGATTGAATAGGTACTGTTGTCATGAGCTATGTATTTAATGTGTAATCTGGAAGAAATCTTATGACATCACTGTCACATGACATGAAATTTATGAACAAATTGTTTTTTGCAGTGTAATTGATGATGATATTACTTCATGAAGTACAATCGGTTGGAGGTTTAAAATAAATTATTCAATAAGAAATATATTAATATTTTAAAAAATTATAAATTTAATAAAAATAAGCAGGACTATAAAATAAGTATCAATAAGAAACTTAGATTTCGGTTGGAATAGTTTTTTTTAATATATTTTTAAAACAATTTTTTAGTATAAAAATTTTTCAAATTAGGAATTTTATATTAAAAAGTTGGTTTAAAAAGTAGTAAGAAAATTATCTCAAATGAAGCCTTAAGGGGTTGTTTGGTAGCACGCAGGATTTGATTTTAGTGGGATTTCGTAAATCCTCTAAATTCCAGATTTAGGAAATCCTGAGGAACCAAAGTCCTGAAAACTGTTTGGTAGCATTCATGATAAATTATATTAATTTTCGTGTAATTGTTTGGCAGTAGAGTGAATTTAAGGAGCAGACTCTTTAAAAAAAATAAGAGCACTTTTCCTGTGGAGCCAATGGATTTCGTAAATCTGACAAAAAATAGAATTCCGAAAATTAGGGATTTAGCACAAAATGCCGGAATTTTTGGTCTACAGTGGCTTTCATTTGTCTTGAGATTTGGTTTTGCATTTTAGGCATTTTAGCTCAATTTCGCTCAAATCCACCTCAAATCCGACCTATAAATCCTGCTACCAAACAACCCCTAAGACTTTATTTGAAATGAGTTTCTTGTAGTTTTGTATTTCACACATCAATTAAAATTTCATTTGGTTGTTGCTCTTTTATAATTTCCATAAATTCTATAACAAAAAAATCATCTTTTATAAACATAATAATTAAATTACTTTTCTAACAACAACTTCACAATCAACTTTATAAAACGGTATTACCATCTCAAACAGACCCTAAATTTTACGAAACATTATGAGCAGCACCTTTTAAGAAAGTAATAATGTGCCATAAAAAACCAACTACAAGGCTTAACATATAAAGCACAAACCTCTTATATAGCACCCTTTGAATGCCATTATCCTCACCATAAAGAAGACAACTTTATTAGAATGTTTGTACATTTCCCACACATAATAATAAGGCTTATGATGAGGTAAAAATAAAGCTCCTACATTAGATTAGTTCATTATACTTATTGTTGGAAACTTCAAAGTCTACATATAGTATTCAATCATCTATCTCTTAATTCTTTGATGCATTAAAATTTTATAAAATTTCCATATTTAATAGGAAATAATTTTGGCAATTGACAAATTAGTTATTAAATATTCCCATAAAAAAAAAGTTTAAAAAGGTCATTGTTAAATTTTTTTATAAATCTCAAAATTATATAATTTGACTTAATATTTTGACCAAATTATTAGTATTTTTCTATGAGATAATTATATGTCTAATATATAAAATTAGCATCATTGTAGATTCAAAATTCTCTTCTAAATATTAAAGTTTGCAATAAAGTTTAATTTTGTATTAATTCTCAATAATTTTATTCAGCACATGTAAATATAAATATTTGATAAATTAAAAAAATATATATTTGTATTAATTTTGTAAATAGATAAATTTTGAAGGTCGTATATATAATGTTTTTTTTTTGTCTTAAAATTCAAAATAGCTCTAAATTAATATTAACCAACAAAATTTAGGCGAAACCAAATTAAAACGCAAGGTCACGTGATCCCTGCGCCTCTGATGACGTGGCATCCGAGTTGGCGCCAGCTGCAAACCGTTCATTAGTTACCATGGTGGGACCATTGAAATCCAACTGTCAATAGAAGAGTCGTCCCCATCCAGATGCGGCGGCTCGAGATGCGTGTAGCGGGTTACCGGCTCCAGCCAGTGGCCACAGGAATACCCGGTCAATCCAGTTGGCCCCACCCAAGATCTTTCGCCGTCCTAACTTCCTTTCGTCGTCTTCTTCGTGCTCGAGGAGACTCCTTATTTATTTATTTATTATTAATCGCGCAGAGAAAGGAAAGAGTATTTTCGGAATATCAGAAGACGAAAAATAAATTTGGAAGGAAATAAATTCTCGCGGAGGAAAGAATTTTTTCTGATTTTTCGGCGGTTTCGGAATCCTTTAAAAAAGCAAGTTTGCTGTCTCTACAGTCTCCTGCAACTCTCTCTCTCTCTCTCTTGCCTTCTTTCTATCTCTCTCTTTCCCCTTCCGCCGCTCCATCTCTTGCTTACCTTCTGCTTCATCTGAATCCCTCTTGTTCTGGTCTTGTTTGCGACCGAGGAGAAGTGGGGGCAGAGATTTCAAAGAAACTGAAGTCTGCGCGGATTCTCTTCTATTTCCAGGTGTCTATTTCGCTTTCCATTTTTGCGTTTATATGTTTTCTATCTCCTCCACCATCTTCTCTGGTCAAATCTTACAGTTTTGCTCATAAAAAACCAAATTTTCTTTTGCAGAGATGAGGAAACCACATTAGTTTCAGGAACATAGCGAGAAATGGAAAGAAACGACGTACATGCAATCAAGCACACTGATCGAGTCAGAGTATCTTCAAAATTCATTGGAAAAAAATCCGTCGGAGGTTCGGCGAGATCCTCTGCCGCATTCCCCCGCACGCTCCGTATATTCTGTGACGACCCCGATGCCACGGATTCTTCCGACGACGAAGCCTGCTTCAACCGCCGGCTCATAAAACGGTACATAGAAGAAATCAGATTTGAAGAACGGCCGCTTTCAAAGACGATTGGAAAGAAGAAAAAGAAAAAGAATTCGCCGGAGATGTTCCAGTCGCCAGACGAGATTCCGAGATACCGCGGCGTACGGCGAAGGCCGTGGGGGAAATTCTCGGCGGAGATACGTGATCCAGCGCGCCGTGTCCGGATATGGCTCGGCACTTACAGCACTGCCATTGAAGCAGCCATGGTCTACGATAATGCTGCAATTCAATTACGCGGCCCTCACGCCGCTACCAACTTTCCAAACCGCGCTTCTCTGACCGCTGCCTCGGCGTCGCCGAACTTTACAGTTTCGCATGGGTATGAATCCAGCGAGGACTCCCGTAATGTTTCAACCTCGTCCCCCACCACCGTTCTCCATGGATTCTCTTCTGATGCCGTCAAGGGTTCTACGGAGAAGGTTTCCTCGTCCGTCGGGAATGGATTGTCACCGGAGCTTAAGATCGACTTCAACGTGTTCGATGAAATGCTCCAATATAATGAGTTTTCAGATACGGGTATTTACGGCTGGGGGGACCCGCCGTCGGACCTAACTGATGACTTCCTGGTGTTTGATAAAATGCCTGACACATACGAGCCGGCAATATTCGAAAAAGTCGCCGCCGGCGACCGATCGATTGACGCCGGCGAGAGAATCGGAACCGAAATTTGTGGAGAAGGCGAGGATTTATTTGCGGGTATTAGTGATCTGTTTCCGCTCGATTCACTCCTCTAAATGGAAAGCAGCGATTTTGTGCTCCGGACGCCGATTTTATTGGCCGATTTTACTTTGCGGAGAAGAGAAATTCGTCAATTCGTGTCAGTTTTATTTGTTTAAATATTATTTTTTTTATTTTTAAATTATTTCTGTTTTTATTTGCAGTGCTATTTAAAGCAGTAATCCACTTTTAAAATTATTTGTTTGCTTGAAATTGTACAATATAGCATTAAAAATATTAAATTTATTAAATTCTTTCTGTTTGGTTGTTGTCCCGGGAGCGGCAGGCCCTCTTAAGTGGGCAAATTATTGCGTCCGGTGTCTGGATTCATCCGGACATAAATCCAGTGTCGTCACATCACCAAAATACATCGGGATCTAGTGTATTTGGGTGACGTGGCGTTACTGGATTGGATGTCCTGGCATCCGGTGACCGAACGCAATAATTCGCCCCTTAAGTGGGGGCCCTAAAGCACTGGCTATGAATATAGTGGCGTCGGTGGTCCGATATGTCAGCTGGGGTTTATGGACCGCCTAGCGAACTCGGTGAGGCCAATCTAGGCGTGGCAGTAATTCCTCGTCACAAAAAAATAATAATATTTAATTATTTATAGATTTAAAATGTTACGCCCTAGCGAACTTGGCGAGGCCAATCCAGGCATGGCAGCGATTCCTTGTCACAAAAAAAAAAATTATTTATTTATAGATTTAAAATGTTACACCCTAAAATATCATTAATATTATAATTTCATTTTTTTTAAGTAGGAAATTTATTTGTATATTATCAAAGATGTTTATTTATAAAATCATCATTTAAGTTTTTAAGAGAACTAATAAATTATTGAGAATACAAATTGATAATTTTATTATGTTCATTAACTTGGAAATGTAAAAAAAAGTTTTTTTAGTGTTAATTTTATGCTTATATTAAATAAAAAATAAGGAAGTGCTCTAAATATATTTTAAATCAATAAATAGTGAAATTAGCTATAAATTTTTGGAAGATTAAGACTGTAGATCAAATAAAATATTACATTTTGCAAAAGCAATCTTGTTAATTAATTTTAGGTTTTCTTTTAAAAGCTTATTTCTGAGACTTGGTTTTGACTATGAGCATAAAAAATTGACCCAACTAGTCAACCTGGCTCGAAAATATGATGTTTGGGTTGACCCTTTTAATAATTAGGTTGGATTTGGGTCTAAAATTTTGACATGTTTAAAAAACAGGTTGAGTTCAAGTAAACCTACCAACTTGAAATTTACTTGATTTTGATTCAGATCCGATGGATTTATCGATTAGGCCGAAGAAGCATGTGAAATTCGAAATGGGAGATGAGAAGATGATGGGAGGCGGGAAATGCATGGTTTCGTTTTGTAAATTCATTTGTCGTGCTGATACGTACTACACTTCAAACTTTGCGGTCAGTGGCTCAGTGCGCTGCATGCGAAAGCGAAAAGGTTGGAAAGTAGGGGGCCGAGTGAGCAGAAGTAGATTTATGGGATTTGGATGAAGAAGCGCATAAAAGGAAAGAAAAGGCGGGAAATCGAGTAGTCTAGTGATGATTTGGCTGAAGATGCATGTGAAATGGAATATTGGAATTAACCAAAAAAAAAAAAAAGAACGGGTTGGAGGTTGTGTTGGGTTGACACGGGTCAGGCTCAATTTGGGTCAGATGATGGCGGGACATTTCGTGTTGGATCTGAACTTGACCCAAAAATTCATTTTAACACTTCTAGTTTTGGCCATTGCTTTTATTGTCTTAAAAAAGTTGATTTTTTCACAATAATTTTGTCTTTCAAAAAGGTTGTTTTCTTCAAAATAGTATTTTATCTTTCACAATAATTTTATAACTATCTTTATAAAAAGATGCAAATGAAGCCATCCCAAATAGATCCTTAGACACAATTTAAAAAAGCTTTTCTTAAAAAAGCTTTTTTATGGCAAAAATTAAAATAAAAAAAGGCAAAAAGCTGTTTTTCTAATTATTTTTATTATCATTAAAGCAGTTCCAAACAAAGCATAATGGATAAGTATTGATCTTTCTAAAATAGGTTAGTTTTTTAATTATATATTTTTAGGGTTTAGGGTTAAGTATTTTTTTTTTTCTCTTGCATTCAATAAATAAACAATATTGTTTTTTTTTAATATATTGAAAATTTTGAGTCAAAAATAATTTTTTTATTTGAAAAATTTTTAGTTTAATATTTGAAACCACTAATATTTGAAACCATAATATTATATTTTTTTAAAAAATAAATTTTATCAAGTGGTGCCATTTTGCTTTGAAGTAGTGTAATACATATCCTAAGGCACTACTTTTAAAGCAAATTTAATATTTTTTTTAGCAAGGCATAATCCATTGAGCCTATGATCCCACTATAGAAACATGCTAAAGTTGGGAGCAATCTTAAAAATAAAATTTTACTTAGCTTTGACAACATTGAAATGAATGCTTTTCCATAATTTAGACGACTAAGAAGGCAGGGATTTTCATGAGCTACAATATTTTAGTCTGAACCTGGTGAAAAGATGAACATCTTGGTTGTAAAATCTGGTAATAAGATAGAATCACGGATCCAATAAGCAATAGTATTCCATATAATATATCTAAGAAATTGAAACCTACCTACAAAAGAGAAGCTTTGTTTTCCGGCCAGCAAGGTGGTTAGTGTTAGAATTTAAGAGAGATTGAAAGCCCGATATCAAAATTTTTGTTTAGTTATTGTAGCCTGCCTCTCTTCCTTTTCTTGCTCGTTTTGTCTAGAGCAATCGTTTGCCTTTTTTCTATTATATTTTTTATCTACCATTTTATTACCACATTTGTAATTTTATCTTAATGTAATTGGCAAAATTATATATATTAACGGATTTCACACGTGGCTGGGGAAGATTGTTGGTTTGGAAGAGATGACGGTCTCCTCACACGTGTGAATTTGTAAGGTGTTGCTATGGGCCCTACATTGGGCGGTGAGGGTGGGCTCTGTTTATTGGGCCGAGGCCTGGTCAAAGTAGCCGACTGCAAAAAGAAGCGGGGAGATTGGCAAAGGACGGAAATTTCGTTTTTATTTGCGACAAAAACTGGTTTTATTTGCAAAAATATTATTTATTGGGAGCAACAACGGCGCCTGTGGCGTTGTCGTCCGGGCATTTCTGTAAAAGTTGATTTTGCTTGTGACTTTTTGACTAATTCAGTAATAGTTTCGTACTAGTGAATTTTATTTTATTTATTTATAAATTTTCATAACAGTTTTTAAATTTTAATTATTTTCTTAATTTTTTTCAATTTTAAGATTCAGTTTAATTGTTTAATTCAAAATTTTTAGGATCAATTTAAAATAACATAAATTATTATCTAACAAAAAAAAAAGAATATATAAAGGGTGAAATCATAATAAAAATTAAAGTCAACTAATTCAAATTTAATAAGGATCAATTTTTACTCATTAATTTTATTTTAAACTGAGTTTAATATATAATTAATCAGTATATTTTAAATTAAATTTTTCATAAAAACTATAATATGCACGTGTGAAAAATTAAAGGTTTAAAGCACATGTATCAAATGATTTGACTTACAAAAAATTTCTAAGTATTCCCCACATAGGCATTATTCAACAGCTAAAAGTCTTCTAATGTTGATTTAAGTTGTTAAATTGGACCCACCCAACAGTCATGGTGTCAAAGATGTGGGAGATAACTTGTTATGTGGTTTCCCACTATAGAACTTGTTTGTTTATGGTTGATTTATCATTCTCTCTCTTTGGATTGTCTGATAGAATTGGGGTCCAGCGACGACTTCACCCGAATCTGTTTCATATTTAAAAAGTATTAATGTGTGTCAAATAATGATTGAAAGATTGTTAGTAATATTCATTTTTTGATACATTTGTTTAGGCCTTATTTTGAGATTTACATGTACACGTGTTTTTTTTTTCTTTTGGTGGAGGGTCAATGTGAAAATTCTTTTTAAGAAAGTCTACAGTTTAGCGTGTTCATCCTAGAGAAATTTTGGGATAGGTGATCTCCTGAGAAGGTACACTAATATGACAAAACCGTGAGACCCTTTAAACAAAGCGGACAATACCTCGATAGTTAAAAGTTTGAGCTATTACAGTAAAAGTCGTCATATTAATAAATAAATTTGTACTATGTGTGTCAAAAATTGACATTACACAAAACCCTATCCAGACTCTGCTTGAAAAAATTCGGGTTTGGGTCAACCTGTTTGTGAAACAGGTCGGGTCCGTGTTCGGATTTCAAATGAGTTGGGTTCTCGTTGACTTGGAAACTCGCAGGTCGACCCGAATTGACCCGTTTGTTGTATCGTAGCTACCGCTCAATTTCGCTCCACGTGAGTACTTGTCTCATCACTCGATCCAGTTGTAGTTGTGGCTTTGGGTCGCGTTATAGCCGTCGCTTAGGGTCGCAACCGTTGTAGGCCTGTCGGCATGCCTCCGTCCCGCGGCTTCTGCCCGCGTTGATGTCGTCGTTGAAGCCAGCGAATGAGAGAAGACCGAACAGCCGAAGAGTGTCGTTGTCATCCCGCCCGTGATTTGCCGTTGCCGCTGTCGTCTTGCTCGCGAGCTGCTGTTGTTGTTGCCGCTGTCTCTTATGAGATGCCGCTATCGGCCTGCCTGAGAGCCGAAGACTACCGTCATCTCTTTCTCGTGGGTCAGAATGAGTCGGGTCCGTGTTGAAAATCCTGACTCATTTTCAAAACTGGGTCAGGTTAGTGTCGACCTATTTAAGGCTGAGTCAAGTCGGGTTCAACGAACCCTACCCGTTGACCCGAATTGACTCTCCTAATTTGTAGTATGATTATTTCTTTTACATTTAATTAGTAGTGCAAAGTTTTTCATTGATTATCACGTGTCATGCACCATAGAAAACATTTAAAGAATGATGATATAGTGCAAAAGGAAAATGAAGAAGAAAACATATGATAGTAAATGGTTATGATATGTCATATTCTGTATCATTGTGATTATGTCGTGTATATATCCATATTAACTATTAAATATTAATTAAAATTATATTAAAAATAAATATTTTAATTTAAAAAAATGTTGATGTTTAATCACTAATAGAAAGTTAGATTTTTCGTACCACTTGTTAGGAGCGGTTTCAGAACCGCTTCTAAAAGTACATACGAAGTGAAGAATATAATGAAAGCATTTGATC